GAGTTTACTGAGTAGTTGTGAGGACTAATGAAGATAATACATTCTAAGTGCTTGATAAAGGCAAACTATTACTATCATATATGCATTATATATATGCACACATATATGATCATATTAGGTTGAACTATATGAACTTGCCAATACTCAATAGTTTTTCACCTATAAAAATGGCAAGTTCATATGAGTTAATCTTATACATGCATGGAAATTTTCAGAAAAGATACCCAAGAAACTTAAGAGCTATTTGTAATACTCTTCTATACCATTTAGACATGTTCAACATGAGTAGAGTTAACAAACACCCCTCTCTCCCAAACAAAAAGCTATCTACTCTACTCCCCTTGCTTTATTCTTAAAAGCATGGCAGACATAGGAGACCTCTCCCTTCTCCCCCAAATCAATAATCACTTGTTGAATGAGCAATCTACCTTCTTATAATACTCTTGTAGGGCGAGTCCTCTTCGTTTCAGAGAAACTTAAAGACTTACAGAATGCTGGCACTGGAAAAGATCTTAGAGATTACATACCTAGGTAAATTCATGCTAGTTTAAACACTGTCAGAAAGTTATCCCTGAAATCTAATCTAAATATTAAACTCCAAAGAGCTCTTATTTTAACAATTCTATATAACCACCCTTACATAAAGGTGAGTGGGAATAGAGAAGAAAAGTCAAGAAATAAAAACAAAATAATATTTTCTGACAGGAACAAAGAAATGTGTGGGGCACTCTGTGTTTGAGAAGACCACCACAGGTCTAGTGCTTTGGAAGCCCTATCCTACTCCATGCTGAAATGATTCTTGGAAAGGGAAAAATGGGAAAATAATTAGGTCCAGAAATCCCTAATAACATCTTCTCTGAAGAAGACAAAGCAATGGACTACATCTTACTCTGCCTCCTGATTTTTCCTCTTAACTAATACAGACACACACAAAGCCAACAGAGTTACATCTGTTCTTGGATAGAACACTCTCCAGTACCATCACTGTCTTTCCTGGACAACCCACCTTCCCCAGACTTCATTTTTGGCTATGGAAGCTGCTGCTGAGTGCTTCTGTGCTTGTTTTAAAAAACTGGTGCATCACTACCCGGCACTTAACTATCTGACTTTCACTTCCCAGATGGGGCACACCACCAAAGCACAGAAATAATGGAAGGGAGAGAGGGAATACTGTTGTAAGGATTAGCATGGAGGGGAAAAAATGGCTACCTACCCCACAGATTTCTTCAAAAACCCAGAGGTAGTTCTGGGACTCCATTAAACAATTCTTTTATTGAGTACCTTTAACATCCTAAGACACTGAAGGTATAATATTAAATCATAAGGAACAAGGAGAGGATGTTTGTGCCACTATGAGTTTGGTGAACTTTTTCTCAGATATACACAAATTAGTGGAATGCCCAGGTGATTTCTGGTGATTAAAATGACTACAAATATTTTTCTTTTTCATAAGAATAAAATTAAATTTTTCAAAATAGTAGGCATTCAATACATATTTGCCAAATTAATGCAAATTATTTCTTCTTAGCTATCTCAAATGCTGTCACATACCTATTATGTAACAAAGCTCAAGAAAAGTTTTTTTTTCAAAACACAATGCATTTTATTACTTTTACACTGCCTCAGAACTGATTCATAGATAACTTTTGATTTTTCTTCAAACAAGTCCAGTTTATTTTCTAAAAAGAGCTTTATTTAATACGTAATTTTTAAATTTGTATCCTTGGTGCCAAAAAAATAAACATGGGTGAATTTTCGAACCCAGAGATATCTTTAATCTAAAACAGGTTGGGCCCTAATGACATGCTTTGCCCTTCAGAGGACCAGGCATCTAGCAGAGTGGAACCACTTTGTGTTTTAAGGCACCCAGATGTGGGGCCAAATAATAACAAAGAAAACATATGAAGATTCTTTAAACTTTTCTGATTCCTTTATAGCCTCACTATTTCTTTTTCTTTCCTTTTTTTTTTTTTTGGTGAGGAAAAATAGCCCTTAGCTAACGTGCATTGCTGATCCTCTTCTTTTTGCAGAGGAAGATTGGCCCTGGGCCAGCATCTGTGCCCATCTTCCTCCACATTATATGGGAGGCTGCCACAGCATGGCTTGACAAGTGGTGCGTTGGTCCGGGCCTGGGATCCAAACCTGCGAACCCCGGCCCGCCAAAGCAGAGCACACGAACTTAACCGCTACGCCACCGGGCTGGCCCCTCCATTTATTTCTTTATCTTGATTTTTTTAATTGCTTATTTTTTTTTATTAATCTTCTGAAAACCACCCTCCCTCTCTCCACTCTGTCCCCCCAAAAAACAAACTACTTTATTGCTTTAAATATCAAATTGGACCTAAAGGGAAAGGTAAGTTGCTACAATATTAAAATAGATACTAACAAGACCTTAAGTTTTATACAAAAAGTTCTAACAATATCTACAGCAAACTGCCATAGAACACTATTTGTAATACAGGATTTTTCAAACATTCATCTCTAAACACATGTAAAAATTAATAGAACTTTCCCAGCAATCACTTTTCTGTAAGCTACAGCATGAAACATACCTGACAATGGAACGTAATATGTTATTCTGAAATGGTCTTTCTCATCTTCTTTCCTCTACATCCAATAAATCTGATCATAAAATACTGCAATGTGATGATTTCTATTATTAATCTTATAGTAAGATCATCAATGTAAATGGTTAAGACTATAGATTTATGGTTCTGCAGAATAATTTTATAGGTTCTATCCAAAAAATATGTGCCTGATTAACAATATTTAAAGAATGCTTGGTTTAAAAATAAATATTTACAAGAATCCCCAAAATGAAATGCCTTATTTTCAAGGTGCACAGATAAAAAAGTACAATAAAGAAGAAATGCATTTTAGGAATGCATCCTTAATTGTGGGGAGAGAGAGTAAAATTGTTATCAATATCTGACATTCATCTCCGAACTAGAATTCAACTGTGGAAAAATATACATTTGTCTGAAAGCAATTCTGATTTCAATCAAATTTTCTAACTTATTGCTAAGCAGTTTCAAAAAAGCCCTTTGTCCTCTTATCCCCAAGAGTTAGCATTTTACAGGGCAGCACTCTACCCTGCTTTTAGAGAGCAAGAGTATACATTATCCACATGATAATTTCTTCATTTTGGTTAGCAAATGAACACTATTTTAAGCAACACATACTAGGCACGTCAATACTACACGCACCATATAGCTGATCTGGTACTGTAACCAGTTCGTTTTAAAAGAAATATCAGCATTTTCAAGCCAACTGAATAATTAAATGTTCTCAGGAGGCCTCATTTATTTGTATTTGTAAAAAAGCACTGAAAGTAAAACTGCATGCTGTCATTCCAAAATTTGTACTTTCATAGCTCCAAAAATTGCTTTTATGTATAATGATGTGACTTGTTAGATGTTATGAGGTTAATATAAAATCTATCTTTATATTCAACAAGAATAATAAGAAATATTGTTATGAATGTTGTTGGATCATTAATAAGTTACATGAACTATTTGAAAATATAGCTAATAGGGAAAAAGATCCTTTTTAATCCAAGGATCTAAAATTAATGCAAGAAGTTTTTAATGTCTTCACATTCCAAAGGACCCCAAATACATCACTTAAGCACTATACATACATAATGCATATACACAATACACACATGCAAACACTCTAAATCTTAAACTAGGTTCTAATTTACTGTATAAGTATCTGTACAGTGTATGTTAATTTAAAAACTAATTTCATATATATATATATATTCTTATATATAGCTACCAACCACAGCAGTAAATTAAGAACAAATCCAAGTACTCCCAAGCAGTCAATTTTAACTATTTCCCTCCTTAAAGTCAACAGGCTGATGGTATAAACATCTGGTTCACAATGATAATTGGTATTTGTTGCTTTTTGCCAGGGTAACATGAGGAGACAGTAGCTGATGCTATTCAACTTCACCGAGACTTCTGAGAATATCAAATGTAAATTGATAAGAGGCCAGTTTCATATATAAATTGTACAAATAGACCTTAAGGATAATAGACAATTTTTCTTTGTTTTAAACAGAAAAAAAATACTAAAGAATGAGGGTCTAAAGCTAATTTCTCCAAATTTATTATTATTGATTTATTATCAACAAAAATGGTAATCTATGAACACTAAAGGTACTAAGCTTAATCTTCTGAATTTTACATTTTTTTAAAACTTCACCATTCTATGCAACCTTCCAAATTGAAAGCTCTCCCCTGTAGTAGAAAAAACTCTGCATTTGAACTAAGGAGTTACTCTTCAAAGAACTAGACTGTCTGTATCTCGGGGCTCTTACCCTACCTCTGTCTCAGCCCTGATCATCGATCCAAGTCTAACATTATATCAAATAATTACACTAAAGATGTAGGTAAGATCTTTCCTAGGTGTTAATCAAACAATTAACAATATTTATTGAGTATATACATGCCCAGTTCTTTGGGAATACAAAGGAATAGGATTATAGTCTTGCTCAAAAAGTTTATAATTTCACAAAAGAAAAATATGCATACAAGAAACAGAACAATTAATGCCATACAAACACGTGTGCAGAAAAGGAGAGAAGTCAGTGTGGGAACGAATAGTCGGGGTTTAGGGAAGACATAAAGAGGCAGATTTGATCTTAATAAATCTTAACAGGATTCAGACACACAGAGGGGAGAAGATTACATAAAACCAGTAGAAAGAATGCACAGAAATAAAAAATGGAGATAGTGAGATTCAGTAGGACTAAAGATAGGGGACAGGAAGAAGCAGCATAAAATAAGTAAGAGGTAGGAGTAAAGTTCAAGGTGAAATACTTCTTAAAAACCAGGCAAAAATTAAGATTTTATAAAATAGGCAAAGTAGAGTTTTAACAAACATTTGGCAGCAATAGTGTGCAAGGTAGGGTAAAATATCTGCATGTCTTTGCTTCCTTTTGGCTTGCTTTCTTGCCATGAAAAATAAAATAACAAACATTACTTCAATACCTCACTTCCAGACCCAGATTCTAGTGGTCTCTTCTTCCTTGGTCCAATAGCTGCAAGAGCTGTGAGATTAGCATCTCTGTGCTGTATCTGTGCGAGCTCCAACTGTTGTAACTAGAAGATGGAATAATAAAAAAAAAAAATCAATTTTTACACACAGTCATGCTCAGAGGGGGAAAGAAACTGATCACTAAGCCTATTTCTGTATTCTTCACCAAATAAATTACGGTGTAAAATAAATATTAGATTCCCCTAACAGCCAAGGGCACATCATTTCCTGATTCCTTTACTCCAACAAACTCTTTAGTCTTGAATCTCGAAACAGATGAGGCAGCATTTAGGTAAGGGAGAAGTATGGAACAGAAGAAGAAAAGAAAGGCAGCTGGAGCTTAATCTCTCCTTAGTTCAAGCACAGGGAAGAAATGCCTGAAGAATAAACTGAACAGTAAATTGGAGAGAAATCTGCCAAACTATAGTCAATCTTTTCAGGTTAAAAGAAAATTATTTAAAATAAAGGCAGTTTTTGTATATCATAGGAAACAGTTCTATGCTATATGATTTACAGAGCTCTTCCTTAAAAATTAACTCATTTAATTCTCACAACCACACTGAAAGGTATATATTAATTGCTATAATAACATATGAAAATTACACATATACTTCATCCCTTTTTTTTTAATAAGGGAGACAGTGAGGCTCTAAGAGGTTAGGAAAACTTCATACAGGTCACACAAATAATAAGTGGTAGAAACAGAACTCAGAGTCAAGTGTTTTCATTAAAAACCTTTTCAATATATCAAATTTTCTCACAGAGTTAGTCTATATTTACCTTCATGCCCAAAATTGAAAGTGAGTTAGTATTGTTTTATTGTACAGTTTTCATCATACTTAAACCAGAATGCCCAAATCTACAAGGTACAATTTTTTAGGATGTGGGTACTAAAGTATACAGGGGTACTCATGAAAGATGCCCTATTAAAAGGCAGATAAATAAGACATTAAAATTGGAATAAATGCATGAAACACAGTATCATTTCACCAAGGCAGGTAAGTGTCTAATGGCATTCTTTAAAAAAACAAGGTGAGGACATCAAAATAAAATATCACTATACAGGTCCTTAAGCTTTTCCAGAAGAGGAAGAATGTTCAAATCCCAAAGTCTTATTACTATAGAGGGAAAGGAGGAAAGAACCTGGCACCGGTTGCTAGACAAATATTCAAACAAGATCAGACTCCAAGATAGTCAACTGAAAGTAATCTATTGAGGAACCCTATATATATACTGAGAATATTCATTTAAAGAGCACTAACCAAATTTTTAACATATTAAAGAAAAGAGCAGGATGAAAACAGGAAACAGCTTGTGGTGAAATAGGCAGTCTCAAGGAGATACAAAGTAAAGATCACTTCAGATGATTTTAATATTAGAGGAAAGACAGAATAAGCCATAGGTAACAGAGTCTTTAGTAAAGCAGAAAACACTTAACTAAAGAAAATGAACTAATAGCCATTTTCCATTTGCTCCACAAACTACAGGGAGAAATTCTTCTTTTAAATTGTGAGTTTATTTACATATAAACTGCTAGAAAACTATTTTCAGGAGTTGTAAACTCTCTTTTGTTGATGCTGGCCTTTTAAATAAAATACATAGTTTTAGAGTCTGATGTGTCATAATCTGGAATTTCTAGGTGACAAAATACAATTTTAGTTAATCTACCCCAGCAGAAATCAAACAACAAGCTATATTTTAAAGTCTTTCTCTATAGAGAAATGGCATGTGCAAGATAGTTGCACCAAATAAAAAGTTTTTAAATTGACCTCTGTCATCAAATTCTCCTACCTACATATAGCAAAACCTTTTCTCCCACTCTGCAATAATACTTTGGTTTTCTGAAATCTCACACACAAGTTTTAGAAAATTTTGCAAAACTCGAACAAAAATTGAAACTGACCATAGTTTTGGTTGGCCCTGTATTTACAACAAACTTTCTCAAAAACAATGTATCTTGGTCAGCACAATACAGAAAAACCAGGTACTTTTAACCAGGACAGGAGGACATTCTGGGCATTAATGCAGATTTGGCTAACACAGTGGGTGAAGATGATATGCAAGCTCAGTTGGGTAAAAACAGTCAGCCATTGAGTTAGAGGCTTGCTGGTGGAAACAGGATTGCAAATAACATGATTATCTACACATAAAACCTCAAGTTACCTACAAAAAAACAAAAACCAAAATCCTCCTAGGACTAATAAAGGAGTTGAGCAATGTTGCCAGATGCAAGGTCAACACACATAATAATGATATTTCTAAATACCATTAAGGTACAATTGGAAACCTAAATTTTAAAAAAATGCCACTTATAATAGCTCTCTGCAAAATGAAATACTTAGGTATAAATCTAACATGTACAGGTATTTATATGCTGTAAACCACAAAATGCAGATGAAAGAAATAAAAGAAAACATAGATAAATGGGCAGCATACTGTGTTCATGGATTGCAAGACTCAACATAGTAAAGATTTCAATTCTTTTGAAATTGATCTATAGATTTAACACAATTTCAATAAAACTTTTTGTAGATATGCATAAGTTGATTCTAAAATTTATATGGAAAGGCAAAGGACTAGAAGAGCTAAATCAATTTTGAAAAAAAGAACAAAATTGGAAGAGTTACATCATGCAATTTTCAGAATTACTTATATAAGGCTATAGTAATCAAAATTATACAGTATTGACAAAGGGATAGACATAGATTAATAAGACAAAATAGAGAATGGAGAAACAGATCCATGTAAACATGGCCAACTGATTTTTGACCAGGGTGCAAAACAATTCAGTTGAGAAAGCATAGTCTTTTCAACAAATGTTGAAGCAACTGGACATCCACATGCAAAAAAATGAATCTTGACCTTAAACTTCACACCTTATACAAAATTAACTCAAAATGTAAACTATAAGCTTCCAGCAAAAAGCATTAGAGAAAATCTTTGTGACTTGAGGTCCAGCAAAGAGTTCTTAGATATGACACCCAAAGCAGGTCCAGAAGGAAAAAAAAAAAAAAAGACAAATTGGACTTCATAAAAATTAAAAACTTTTGCTCTGTAAAAGACAGTTAAGAGAACAAAAGGACATGCTATTTAATTTCTCCCTCACCAATCTATATGCCTTTTATTTCTTTTTCTTGCCTTATTGTACTAACAATGTAAAGTTAAATAATAGTGATGAAAGCAGATACCCTTGCCTTTTTTCTCATCTTTGAAAGAAAGCATTAAGAATGATACTAGTGGTAGGGTTTTAATAGCTGCCCTTGATAAGATTGAGGAAGTCCCTCTATTCCTAGATTCCTGAGATTTTTATTATTAATGCATGTTGAAATCTGTCAAATGTATTTCTGAATCAACTGATGTGATCACATGGTTTTTCTTTCTTAGACTGTTAACATGGTGATTATATTGACTGATTTTTAAATATTAAACCAGATTTGCATTCCTGGGGTAAACCCCACTTGGTCATGATACATTATTATTTTTACATATTGTTAGATTTGATTTGCTAATATTTTGTTAAAGATGTTTACTTCTATGTTCATGAGGGATATTGGTCTATAGTTTTGTTTTGTAATGTTTTTCTGGCTTTAGTATCAGGGTAATGCAGCCTCACAAGACGAATTGGAAGAGCTTCTATTTTCTGGAAGAGACTGTCTAGAAGTGGTGTTAAATCTTCTGTAAATGTTTGGGAGAATTTACTAAGCAAAATGATCTGCACCTAGCGATTTCTTTATCGAAAGATTTTAACTATAAATTCAATTTATTTAATAATTACAGAACTATTGAGGTTATCTACTTCATCTTGGCTAAGTTTTGATAGTTTGTGCTTTTGAAGAAATTGGTCATTTCACCTAAGTCGTCAAACTAGTTGCATAGAGTTGTTCATTGTATTCCTTTCTTATCCTTTTGACACCTGCAGGGTCTGTAGAAATTTCCCATCTTTCTTTCCTGATACTGGTGATTTACATATTCTTATTTTTTCTTTGTCAGTCTTACCAGAGATTTATCAATTTTGTTGCTCAAAGAACCAGCTTTCAGTTTTACGGATTTTCTCTGTTTTCTCCCCTCTGTTTTCAGTCATTGATTTATGCTTTTTATCTTTATTATTTCCCTCTTTTGCTTGCTTTGGGTATATACCACTTTCCTTTTTCCAGTTTCTTAAAGTAAAAGCTTAGATTATTGATTTGAGACCTTTCTTCTTTTCTAACATGAGCATTTTTTCCCATCCTTTTACTTTAACCTACTTATATGATTACATTTGAAGTTTCTTGTAGACAAATACAGTTGTCATAGTTTTAAATCCACTCTGACAATCTCTATCTATTAATTGGTATATTCAGACCATTTATACTTAATATAATGACTTAGTTAAATTTGGATTTAGGTCTACCATTTATTTGTTTTCTGTCTGTTCCCTCTGCTTTTCATTTCTCTGTTTCCTCTTTCCTACTTCTTTAGGGTTATTTAAACATTTTTAATATTTCATTTTAATTTATCTACTGTATTTTATTCTATCTCTTTATATAGTTTTTTTTTTTTTAATTTTAGTGGTGGCTCTAGAGATTAGAGTATACACACTTAACTTCTCAGTCTATTTAGAATCAATATTTTACCACTTCAAGTGGAATATAGACCTTACCCATGTATATCCTTTTACTTTCCATACTTCATAAGTTATTTTGTGTATTACATATACATACACTGAAAGTCTCTGACAATGTTATAATTTTTGCTTTCAATTAAACATATATTAAAAACTCAAAAGCAGAAGAACAGTCTATTATACCATTTCTGTTCTTCATTTCTGATGTTTAAAGTCTCCCTTTGGTATCATTTCACTTCATTCTGAAGAACTTCCTCAAGCAATTCTTTTAGAGTAGGTCTCTGGCAACAGATTCTATTCTTGTTCCTTCATCTGAGAATGTCTTTATTTCACCTTCCTTCCTATAGAATATTTTCAGTGGATACAGAATCCTGGGTTGGTTGACAGTTCTTCTAGCACTTTAAAAATATTTTGCTACTTTCTTCTGGTCTCCATGGTTCCTGATGGTAAATCTACAATCAT